TGAAAAATTAACAGGATGATGAATTACGTGTGATGACGTCAATCAGTGCATGAATATGCAAACTATGTGTTATGTTATACTTTTTATCGTCTTGATTGTACATGACGCCATGTGTCTTGTTGCAGTGGTGCATACCACTTCCATTTCATTCTCCTTGTTATCATCATCATCATAATAATATTTGGCTCGCTTGCCCAAGGACTCCTACTAAATGTCAAAATAGATTAAGACACCTCCTATGTGCGAGGATTCGAAGGACCTTCAAGGACTGTAGAGTCACGCAGAGAGATAATAATATTTGGCAAAGAATACAAATCATAAAGCCGCTCACTATGTAATTTTTGCACATTTCTTGTTACTTCCACTGACTTAGATCTAGATATGCTACCCACAGCACCGTGTTCTCATTCAATACGTTATTCCTTTGATGTGAGAGACTACATTTCACATCCACACAAAGCAACAGGTAGAATTATAGCTTTTACTTTACAACAAGGAATTGAACCTGGTTGAAGCTGTGATGCAGCTAGAAGGCTGGGTATCTTTTATGTGTTGTTCATTACTGTCATGTCACGGGATTTTAACCTAAGGACTCCACTTTTACATTAAATTAGAGAAAGGATAACAATATAATTATGGGAGATGCAGGTGACATTTAGGCCTACTGGTTTCCGAGAAACCCGATGAGTCATGACCACAGGAGTTACTTTAAACTGTCATATTAAGTACAACAAAAGTGGTAGCATTAGCACACTGTGGTTTCTCATCACTTGACACTGAGCTAGTCATTCTGCCCGTAATGTAGGCAACACAAACAACATCAGCAAAATGAATATGATACAATGGCTCAATTAACAGGAACAGTATTTATTTAGGTGAAACATTCCTAAGATTTTAAACAAGCGCAAGGTTGTGGGTCTTATCCGACTAAACAACAAAGCAAATGACAATAAAAAACTGGATTTAATTTGAGTTCTCCGTGGGAAGTACATCAGGCATCTATGCGATACGAAAATGCATCCGGATTCCGGGTAAAATGAGTTCGAGACGATATTGGCTTAGAACAATAATGTGATAATATTCAGGCAATAATGACGTTCTCCCAGTCCAAAGTTCTTATTGTACGTGTGTGTGTGTGTTTTTCTTTCTTTCTTTCTTTCTTTCTTTCTTTCTTTCTTTCTTTCTTTCTTTCCCAGATTGTCTCACTCACCTTAGCCGGCTCAGAATTAGCTTTGAGACAACGTACCCTTTCATCCATGCCCGACCGGGTTTCGAAAACTCGAACCCAATACACGGGCAGCCTTAAATAAAGTAAGCCCCAAACTGCACTGTCATGTGTATCACTACTTCAGTAATGCATGAATGGATGAAAGGAGCTTTCCTAGCCGAAGGTCTCTGGTTCAAGGCCGGCCGGTTGCCGTGCGGTTTTTCTTAACCCCTTGACTCACGTCTATTAAAGTCAAATTTTACTTTTGTGGAGTGCACCCCGTGTCTTGCTGGTTGGAATCCGACGAAGTCCTGCGACGTCTTCCCGTTCCCTGTCATACGAACGTCTACGACCAAATCTTCTTAATTATATGGCAAGGCGACGTGCAGCGAGTCTCCCTTCGGGGTCATTGCCAAGGCACTTGCCGTTATGAGAGGTGATTATGTGCAGAGCACTTGAAAGGACGTCGGAGGTTGTGTTTTGTGCTGTTTTAAGGCACAGTTTTGGAATTCGTCTAGAGAAACTTAAACACAGAAAACGTCGTAGGACAAACATTGTCTTAGCCTGGAATCTCTCACAGATGATTCACCGTTGTCCATCTCGGTATAAAAATGAGGAAATATAACGTCACCCTGAGTATCAGTTTTATTTATTTATACTTTATTTAACGAATCAGCCAGTAACTCTGACTTTTTGCATCCAGTAATTGGGTGATTAATGAACAATAAATTGGAAAGGAATCGATTGTGGTGTAATTTGACATACTATTTCAGTATTTGAATGGAGGGACTGAGGAAATTCATCAGTCATGAACCAATATTGGGACCAAGAATAGAACCTGGGACATCCCGATTATGAAACAGGAAGGAGTCATTCGTCTGTTGCGTTTGGCCTCGGATTGTCAAAAAAATTATATAACGATTGGAATTTATAAGCATTTTTCTGTTGTAAATTTATCGTTTCGATAAATAGGTTAGTCTGTAAGCTAAAGCCCACAGAGTCGTATGATTTCGAGGACCGGATAAAGCTGGCTGTCGATTTGGCTGCACTACAATAGACAGCAGCCCCTCATGTCGCATCGCGGTGCCATTTAGATAACCGCCGAAGTCTTTTCCCACGATCCGCCCTCACTTAACTCTATAGCACTGGGTGTTGGCACGGGAACCTAATTCATTACCCACATCGATTCGTACTTTTAAATCAGAGTCAGTACTCCCTGAGATTTACCAACATAGACTAACTCTATTACGTGAAATTATTCTTTTGGATTTGCCCACTGTCTGAATGTACTACGACGATTTGGAAGCTGAATTCTGTTTCCGTCTTCAGGTTAAAAATGAGGAATGAGGACAGAAAGCCTATATGTTCGGCGCCCTTTTTTAAGCTAGTATCAGAATGATTGACTAATTGCTGTATATAATACTGTAAGGAAAATGTGTTTGTGTCTGGGAATAATTTTTTTCCTGTGATATTCAAAAATACAAATCGAATGATTTATGTCGGGAAAGAAATCTTGATAAGAAATATAAGCATTTGTCGAATTTCTCGACAGTTACACGTCGGGCTCTGTGATGGACTTGTTAATGAGGAAACGAGGAGGGAAAGATAATTGAAGTGTATTTTACTCGGTAAAAGTGTATGTACACATATATAATAGTTGCTCAAATGTACAACAAATGCATGTTGTTTATAGTGTACAAAACGTCTTTCTTATCTAGAAGAAGTACTGTTATACAGGAAACCGTCGGAAACCGTGTAAATTCCAGATCTTTCGGAATCTGTTACAGACAAGTTTACTGAAAGTGAAATGTACGTTTAGTGAAGAGAAGAGACCTCGTTACAAATTAGTTGTGTTCATTATGACATTGACGACAGGGGTGAAGGTCGGCAGGCCATATGTTGTGACGGTGGTGGTTGTCCGGCCCAGGACCGAAGCGTGGGGCCTTGATTAACCTACGCAGTGAAAGTGGGACCTGAATCTTGGCTTGACTTGCTGGACATCGCGACAAATACTGGTTGCGTCAAGTTGTGCCAAATAATCAGTCCTATAACATGAAATACAATAACCACACATGTGAACATCCGGATTAATCCTGACAGACATTGTTATAGTTTTCTCCAGTTCCTTTGGTCGAATTAACTAATAGTAACTTACAATAAGCCAACGTGTCGACTAGTATGCTGTATCATGTATTATTATAATTTATTCAATTCAACATTCGTTAAATAATACTTAGATGCTAAAAAGTAACATCAAACGTTTTAATTTTATGCTTTCGCAAGTTTATGGAACAGGTTTTAAAATTTAATTCGAATGTAATTTGCTTAATCGTATCTTAAAATATTCTTACAATCTCTATAAGTACTTTATGTTCCAATGAATTAACTTATGATCGCCTTCAAGTAATTAACACTTTACCGCTGCAGAAATTAGTCTAGACACTGACAGTCAGAAGAAATATTCGTGTCATTTGAAGGCGCTGCCCCTCTATTCAGAGGTAAGGCTTTGCTAAGTCCCTGGTGGCAGTCTCATGCTTTAATTTTGACAAAATTATATTCTATGTCTTTCAATCCCTTATTTAGATTAGTCGCCAAAAGATCTTGCGGGTGGACGGTGCTCAGAACTTCGATCTCGCTTTGCAAAGTCCGGCTCGGACAAATCAAATTTGCCTGAATCCAATCCAGGATCCATTTTTGTAAATTCGCATGACCAAACAACTGTTTTTGTTTCCCTGACGACGACTAAATTTTCTCTTAGGCTTTGTCTTGGTTTGTGCCATTAATAAAATACTTTAAACGCGTACTGTTCCTCATGATTTAGAAACTTATTTCGATTCTGTTGGCTGGAACTACCAGATATCTTTGTTTCTGACCGATTTACCACGCAGGTAAGGTATTCCGAGTAGATGTGGAAGGATTCTGTACAAAAAATGTACAGGTGTCTAGACAGTCGCTAGGCCTACTGAAGCATGGTGACCCGTTCGTTGGATTCACAGTCTCGCCGTCACTCTTCTGAGTGACAATGTTATCTGCCCTGTGCCTACAGATATGCTTAATTCACATTACACGCGGTGGCTGTTTTCAGAACGCCTTGTAGCTGAATCGCAGCGCAGAATCCAGCTTGTCTGTCGGTGTGGGGTTGTAGACGTGCCCGTGAACAATCCCTCGACGGAAGACATCCGGGGCTGTGAAGCTAACGACTGACCACTATGTAGTGCCGATTTTAATAATGCTCGCAGCTGTACGTCCACTGACGCCAGTGTGTTTAATTAAGCTCGAGGGTTAGCGTTATATTTACCGTTACTCCATTAGACGTTCTGCGTCTCCCTGCGTCCTATGGGGTCCGTTTCAACTCCGTGATTTATAAAAAAGGCTAATCATCTGTTCATTCTTATTCTTCAATGGATCTGAAAATTGATTATTTAGCCGAAAGCCGCCTGTGAAGTTAGAATGTAACCATGAAACACGGTATAAAACACGCGGCAACAAATAAAAAATTATAGTTGTTCGGGTGATCAAGAAATTCATCGTCTTTTATAAAACTATAAAATATTCATTACAATGTTTACAATTCCCGCTTTTGAGTCCTATCCTGAACCACATGATTCCAATACGCACACTATTTCGTGAAAATCCGTTTTAATATTGTCTCCGCGTCATCGCTTTAGTCTTCTAGATGTTCTCCCTTGACAGTTTTCAGCTAAACTTGTGTGCTTTTAGCTCCGAAATTTGACTTGATCATCCTAGTAATTCGTAGTTGGTGAACTTTATTTATTATACATCTCCTTTGTAGGTAATTTTCTGCATCCTATTGTTACCACCGCTCTCTGATGTCCAAATACTCTACTCAGCATCCTTTACACAAAACACTCATCAGTTATGGACTTCCCTTCGGTTGACAGAGCACCAATGACATTAATATAAACAAAAGGTAAGATTACAGTTTTTCGTTCGACTTCTGGACTGAAAGGGAGCGAGTATTCATAGATTTATTTTGGTTTTAATTATTTTGTTAATGCAATTAAGTCTCTGAATTTTGTATATTTTGGCTAATGATTATGTTGACGCACACGTTTTCAACTTAACCGAAAGCTTTCATTGCTGCTGAGGAGAAGATACCACAGACGGACGAGGCAAGATACGGTCTTGCACGAGTGAGCAGGACTGTGGGGCCGATAGCAGTAACCTTCGCGGCGCTCTGTCTGCCCCAGCGCCCAAGGAAGTGTGTCGAAGAAGGGGGTTCCTGCTCCCTCAGCATCCAGCTTCCAGCTCCAGAGCCCCTTTTAACTCGCAGTGCGAGCGGGCCAATCCAAACCTATCAACTACAGCCTGC